CATTCGTATATAGCGTGACGTCGGCGAGCGGTGTTAAGTCACGTCCCGTAACCGGTGGCGGCACACGACTGGCGTCGAAAGTGTCGCCCCAGGGATACTTGCGTTGGTCGTGACCCTGGGCAGCGTACTGCCACTCCCACTCGTGGGGCAGTCGCTTACCGGCCCACCGGCAGTAGGCTCGGGCGTCGTCCATTGATACCCAGGTGACCGGTTTGTGTGCCCACCCATCGGGATAGTGACCCTGGTGCCAGTCGCGCACAAAATTGTGATTGTCAACCGGCGAGTATTTGGTATGACTCATAAATTGATTGTATTGCTCGTTGGTAACTGGCGTTTTATCCAGGTAAAATTTCTTGATGTCAATCACGTGTTTATGGTGTCGCGTTGGTTCCCCTTCCCACGGATACTGTACGTCATCACCTTGCTCATTCTCGCCCTCAATCTCATTACCACTCACGACGAATGTATAATTTGCCGCATCTATTGATACCATACCTGCAATAGAAAGTCAATTCAATAACGAAATTATTATTTAGAGAATTATAATTATTTTAGGTGTTTAGATATAACAATAAATGGCCCTTTTGTAGGCACCTATTGTACTACAATGATTTGAAATGAATGCTAATAATTGGTGATATCCCCGGTCATACCTGGCGGAGTACTTGTATATTGTTTAGACGCTTCAATCGTAACCATTGTTTGCTTTGCGACGATATTTGCTGCGGAATACGACTCGAGTGTGCGTTCAGAGTATTGTTTCATTGTTGTCATAAATTGCTCAAAATTTTCGGGTAAATCACTTTCAATACCACTCAAAATGGCACCAAAACCATGTTTCTCGATCGCAAACTTTAGGATTGCCGTTCCATTACCAATCACAGGAACTAGCTCAATTCCGTGCCATAGATCATAATACTTATGATTGTCGTTGTGTTTCACCTCTAATTGCGATCCATTACTGTCTTTATCCGAGCGATTAATTAATGTCCACAAAGTCAGGCTTGTATTTGCCGTTCCCGGCCATTGACTCGCAAATATAAAATTAGCAGCTTGTTCAGTTTTATAAAACGGTGTCCACAAGTCACTCGTGAGTAATGGCGCAAACTCTCTCATAATAGACGCAACCATTTTGGTGGCCTGACAGTCCCGATCAGTCATTTGATTCCATATCCCCCATACGTTTTCCCACGTCTCGATCCCCACGCCATTAAACAATGCCAACTGAAGTGCATCGAACTTTGATTTTGACCATCGGTCGCATATATGAACCTGGTGCATTTCATCAAACACTGAGTACATATAATTTCTATATTTGTATATATAGTATGTCTAATGACTATTGGTATGCTAATTAACCAATAAAGGAGTTGTCGAACCTTAATAAAGGTGTTTAACTTTAACAAGGTGTTTTAATTTTAACATTTTTGATTAAATACTCAACGAGGAGCCTGTATATGTAATCCATATGGCTACTCAATTATGAACTGTTCTTGTTCACTCACTAACGTAATTAATATTATTGTTTTTAATTTAATAATAAATATAGCATTGTAATAAATTCAATAAAATTGTCATACTTTCTAGTTTTAGTAAAATCCTTATATTTTAAGTTTACCCTATCAATTGCTTTAAAAATAATAATTTTAAAACCAAATTTAAAACTTATTGTTATTGATCTCAAATTGTAACCTACTTACCATAAATAGATATACCCGACAACAAATATATTGCCCCCTGTGCTGGTAGGTGGGTACATTATATTGCACATTCTCATAGAATAATCATGACTTATATTTTGTACAATATTACCAATAATCTTATCCTTTAAACTTTATATTGTTTCACAGGATTAACATTACTTGCTATTTAGACATGTCATTACCTGGTGACGCGTCTCAATCCATTTATTTCTGCTGACCACTGGTCGCGCACTTTTAAAAGCATCGCTCCAATAGCCCCACGACATGACATTCCACGCTAGAGCTGATATGCCATCTCTGGCCAAACCTATTTCCGGTTCCAACACAAGTGGTCTTAAATCTCGGACGGAATTATCGAAGTACTCCTTATTGACGGCAAACAGTGTATCGCCATTAAGACCGTCAGCACCTATTGAGGCCATTGTCTTGGGCACGATGACTGACCAGTCAGCACCGGGATCGCGTGTACCAA